ACAATCAATACATGAGAATACTTTTTCGAAAGATCATTCAAAAAATCAAAATAACTCCTCAAATAAGCATTTCCGATATCACCTGCCAACACGATCACATCTCCATATGATTTTTCACATAATTGATGATTGTACTTTTCCTTGTAGCAAGCCTGAAATTTTGCATAGGATTCAAAGTGTTCAATATGAAGATCACTACAAAACTGAATAATCATTTTTTTTTGTTGTGTGGAACAAAACCGTAGCTGACACGACTTGCCACGTCGAATTCTCGTTTGTGATCTTGGAATGGTCGTCGTGTTGGTAGTGTGTGAATAACTACATGAACTCGTCACTTGCCACGTCGACATCAACACGATTGACACCATTCCAAGATCACAAACGAGAATTCGACGTGGCAAGTGACGAGTTCATGTAGTTACTGGTTTATTATTTACAAAAAACCATCCATTCCCAACACTTTTAACATGTACCACACCATTTTCATATACCAATGATCAATCACCAAATGAGGAACATTATTCGATGAAAATATTTGTTGACAAATCGCACTCGAGACATGAGCTGGATCTTGAGCATTATCAATGAACCGTTTCGCATCTTGTTGTTTCTTCACAGCAATATCATGATATTCAGAATTTTCATCAAATGGTTTCAAATTCAAAATATTCGTTCGTGAGAATCCTGGTTCCACACACGTCAATCTCATTCCATTCTTGACTGCTTTGAATTCACGTCTCAAAGAATCACTCAATCCAACCATTGCAAATTTAGAACTTGTGTAAAATCCAAAGAATGGTGGAGCAACAAGACCAGCCACACTTGCAATATTCACAACAATGGATCCATACATGGAATGGTTCTTTTCATTAGAAGAATTTTTCTCACTCACGATTTTGGTCATTTGAGGATACAATTCTCTTAACATTCTGACATGTCCAAATAAATTCACACCAAATACTTGTTGCAAATCTTCTTCAGAATATTCAACAATTCCACATCGTTTTTTAGTACCAGGAGCATTGGCAATACCTGCATTATTGACAAGTGCAAAAATTGAATCAGCGTTCCAATTGGAGAGAGTTTGACGAATTTCTTTCGCTGCTCGTTCGACATGATCCACTTTGGTAATATCACATTCGATTAATTGTAGACGTGAAGCTGTCTTTTCTGATGATAATTCTGTTTTGAATTTTTCTTCGAGAAATTGTTGATTGATATCGATGGCGATCACTCGACATTGCCACTTGTCAAGTAATTCTTTACAAGTCAAGCTTCCGAAACCACCTGCAGCACCACTGACAACAATGACGCGACCTTGTGATGGAATGTCGAGAAGAGGTTTACGTTTCAGAACAATTACGTATGAGATTCCCGCAATCAAGGCAGCGAGTGTGAAAAGGAGCACGAGAATCATTTTTTTTTGTGTCCGAGAGAGGAGGCATCTGGTGATGAGAACTTCATGTGACGGAGACAAGTCACCCGGGCCAATAAAGGACCTTGAAGTAAATCTCACAAGGATAGGAGCTATTCCATGAACTCTTCAAGAATTTCCATTTCAATTAAAAGCTTTTACTGTACAGTTTTTGAAATCAAAATGTATTACTTTTCAAGCTTGGCTAATGTATGCTTGACATAATTCTGAATGGCTGTATTCTTGAAAGTGACGGTTCTACCGGTTCTTCTAAAAATTACATTGCTTTCTAAGAGTTTTCGAACAGGATTGGGGACAAATTCTGTAACAGCACAATTGTATCCACATTCTTTGACCACTTCTGATGATGGCGTCAAAGATTCAAAATCATGAACGTCAATAGATCCATGCTGTAAAATATGTCTTGCCACATCTTGAAATGCCTTGTTAAAAAGAGGATCTACTCCTGAATGAATAAACTTTTCTGTTATAGCTAAATCTACTTGGTATAATTGGTTATACTGATTTAGATACTTTGGAATGTAACCAGTCACAGAGAAGATGCGTTCCATTTCTTGTGGATCAGTAACATTAAACTTTTTTCTCAAAAATCCTTTTGCTTCTTCCCTTGTCATTTCACCAATTTCATATACTCGAAGTCTACTACTGAATTCAGACACGGTACACACACTCTTGTCTCCATCTGTTGTGATCACAAAAATACAATTCAATGCTTCACTGTCAGCCATCTTTTTAGCAAGTTCTTGAAGATTTCTGAAAAATTGTTTCCCTTCGTCATTGGTATTTAATCGATGGGCATTATCAATCACCATAAGGGGTCGTTTTCCAGTTTTTTTTTTGATTTCAATTCCCACTTTTTCTAAATCAGACAAGATATCATGTGAAGAATCAACGTTCAGTAACTTTTTGACATAGTGAAAGAAGGAATTAATTAAGGTGAAATATCCTAATTCGCTTTTCAATCGTGCCTCGTATTGTCGTTCAGTAGCTGCCGAATAAAAAACTGGAATACCTTGTTTACGTGCTTTGTAAACTAGTCGATTCACAATTTCAGATTTACCACTTCCACTTTCTCCAATGATCATTGCATATTGATTTAATGAATGTACTGCAAAGTTCAGCAACTCTTCCTCCTCTTTTTTTCTCTCAATAGCTTCAGCAAAATGCGCCATATCGTCATCTGTAACGTTAGTTTTGAATTCTTCTTGCACTCTTGACAATTTCATATATTCCTCCACAACCAGCACCAACAAAACCAACAACACTGTTGCTAATTTAAAAATCCAAGTGTTTTGCATCAATGATCTGAATGCTCGGGTCCACCTAGAAACTTTTTGTTGAGTTTCTTTTAGGGCTTCTCCAATATTTTGATTGGAAAGTAAATGTTTCAAGGATGTAGCATCAAGCGCTAGAAAGGAAAGCCTTGGTTCTGTCTCGTCTTTTCGCGAGGTGCTTTTTTCTTGTTGATTGGTGGCAGTTATAGTATTTACATTGATAGAAGTGGTACTTGGTGTGGTCGTATTCGGTGGTAGTGGAGATGATGAACGATCCGATTGGCCATTCGTAACACCCAGCCGGATACAAGTATGAAATCTTCGTTCATGCTGAGGCTGTTGTAATAAATAACGAATTAATGATGCTTTGGGAGTGAGATTATCAGCCACTGCTGTGGTTGCACATCGATGATACTGAATATTCTTGCCTCTCGAAAATAGAGAAAAGGATCGGCTTAAATTTCTAATCATTTTTTTTGATGGGTTAAATCCCCGCTTCTCATGGACCCGCAACCCTCTTCGCAAAGTTGACGCTTTTGCGTTAAAAAAACAACGCAAAAATTGCGCACCTGCAAAAAAAAAAATTTCGAAACAAAGCAAGGTTTATTTTTCATCACGGCTTCATTAAATATATTGATTTACGTTCTTGTGCATCGGAATGAAATAACTCTTCCCCTTTCTAGTAACAGTAACACAAGGAACCAGAGGCTCTTTGTTGGACACTTCAATCACAGACCTGTCTGACAAATTCTGCAAAGTCACTGTGGAATCTGTGAATGATTTGATTTTGAAGTATTTTGCAGGAGTACAAGAAGTATCAGCCACAACATCTCTCTCTTTCTTCAATACGAAATGACCACACACACATTCCGAAGGTTTGAGTTCACTTAAACCAAATATATCGCATAACTGCGCCATATCAAAAAACATAATAGAATACCTTGCAGAATTTGATGAAATGAACGGCTTGGTCAATGTGAAGTTTAGATTTTCCCCAACAAAGGCTGTATTATGTGCCAATGGACCATATAGGCCTGCATTTCGCACCATATCACTAGCTACATGGAAGTTCATTGTAGCCTTTGCAATACCTACCATCTCTTGATAATCCTCCAAAATACCTCTTAGTTCCTCATTAATTGAATTCAAATCAGCTATATTAATGGCATCTGTTAACTTGTCAATTACAACAACCATTCTCTTAATAATTTTATACTTCAACTCAATCATACTGAAATTCTTAACATCCTGAAGTAGATCTAGATAATAGTGAATAATCATATATATCTCCATTGCCTTAAGGTGTACTAAATTTTTGGAAACTGATCTCGGGTGTCTATGTAAGAACGAAGGAAATTTTTGCTTGAGATATTCTTTGTCGAACTCGTCCCAATATTGAAGTGGAATCATCTCCATCATGTCACGCATAATTCCTTCATACAAGTTATGCATTGAATCATAGGAGCATATTGTAGTGGGAGTTGGTTTCCAACTCTGGTCTAATATTGGAGAATATCCACGAACACCCCATGACAACTCTTTTCCCGAAATATTATTCCAAAAATGTCGATCTCTCAAACCAAAAACAATTCGTTGATTACTAGAAATGTCTCTCCTAAGTGGATATCTAACTTGAGTAGTTCCTCCTGGTAACTGAACAGGTTCCCCTCGAATCTCGCATAAATGGCAAAAATAATACCCTGATTTTTGAAATAAGAGAATTTCAGACCTTGCAGGTAAGTCAGCAATTACTCTTTCTAATCTCAATGATATTTGTTTAAATTGATCATTGAACACATTCAAATCATCCATCATGATTTTCAAACACAAATTGATTTCTTCTTGAGATGGTTTGTTAGGAAATAGTAGCCACAAAAAGTTATTCTTGCGCTTCTTTCTTACATTTGGTTTCATCTCATTGAATGTGACAGAGAATTCGTAAAAGCTTTGCTGACTAGATTTAAACGGAGCAACACCGTCACCAAATAACGTCATAGTTTTTCCTCCTTCATCTACGAATTTTTTGTGAATGTTTTTGTAGATGTCTCCGTCACAACGATCTTGGATAAGTTGGGGATCACGATTATCAAGTTTAAATTGATCCAAAAATTGTGGCTCTCTGAATATCCTTTCCTCGAATTGGAATTTTAATGGGCGTAAAAAGCAATGAGTTTTGATATCTTTCCATAATTTCCCACATTTAGGACAGGATTTTTGGTCTGGATTTTTTTGATACGTCTGACAATGAGTGCACATTGGAATTTTCTTTGTCTTTGAAGACAAAAGGAAATACTTATAGAACCCTGTTAATGTCAGCTTATCTGAAAGTTCTTGTTTATCACTCTCATGAATGAGTTGAATGGCTTCTCGAATTAGATTTAAAACCATTTTGAGACAATTTTCAGAGAGAGAACTTGTTACTGCAAACTTGAGAATTTTTTTCATCAACGTATCAACATTTACATTGACATTATCATTCACAACGCTTGAAAATGAATGGGAAGAGAGAACTTCTTCATCTAGTATGCCATCATCTCCATCACTCCAATATTCTCTGAAAAACTGTAACAGGTCGTCTTGTTCTGATTGTGCATTGGATGGATTATTTTCATTCGTCGGAGATGAATCATGAGAACCTGAACAGAGATTTTCCAGACCCTCTGCACTACAATTACATTGTTGATTTTCTACTGTATGGTTCTGAGAAGAGTAATTTATATCTATTCCACCAATATCTAACAAAGAATCATCATCAATGCAATGAGCAACAGTCTTACGAAACTTATTTACAGGCTCATAATTTGGCTCGTGATTGTATTTTGAATTGACAATTGAACTGGACCCTTCTACAGTTTGGCGCTTCAAACCAAATTGCTTCATTATTTACAACAACACAAAACAAGAACGTTGATTGTTTAACGATATAGATTCCATTAAGTGTCTCCAATTACGTATATTCGTCAAGAAATATCTATCGTTCCCAAATTTTCGATCCACTTGCAAATTGGACATTTAACGGTTGTAAAACAAGATTCAACATTACTCAAAAAAATGAAAAGAACAAAATCACACCCTGGCAAGAATGCAACAAAGAAAACCAAAGCAAACGATAGTACACTTTCAACACAAGACACTTCCTCCGATTTAGAGCAAATAATTTTATTCGAGGCCAAAAAGCCAAATGAAAAACAAGCTAAGTTAATTGCGAAACACTCTGAAAATGCTTTATGTAATAGTATTCCTCAACTTGAGAAATATTTAGACTTTTTGCAAAACATTCACAACAAGGATATTGACATTACAAACAAAGACTCTGTCTCTGCAACATACATTCTGATGAATCAATTTCTCAAACAAGGAGAAAAGGTTTTTGTTGGTATTCAAGCTGGTAATCCAGAACGCTTGCGACAGTCAATTTTGCAAACTTATAGCTCGGACAAAGATTTTTCGGAACGAATATGTGCTGCAGTCAAGGCTATCAGTGTAAGCCTTTTGAAACAAAAAGGTTTAATTGAATCCACATGCCCACCTGTGAGTTCAAATCTCAAAGTTGGAGATTTAGTTGAAATTATTGAAAAGGGAGAGAATTGTTACTACAAGATTGGTAAAGGAAGAGTTCAATCACTCACTTCAACTAATTGCAGTTTAAATGACATTATATTTCACGTTCCATCCTTCGTTCAAGATCAAAAGAAGACGATTTTTGATATTTCATGCCTTTCATTAATTGAAGATCGAACCAATCATGCTCCTATGATTCAAAATGCTTTTTCTACGGTTCAGCGAGGATGTACTCCAGTCTCCTTATTTTCCATGAATTATGATACTGAAGTCGATGATGACAAAATTGATGACAATGAAGTTCTCTCTATAACTCCACCGGAAATTTCGGATTCAAGAACAAACTCAAATTCAAATGTTGAAGAGAGTGATTCTCCTTTGCAAAATGAGCCCAAGTCTACGGAACCTACTGATTATAAGAATTTCGCTAGTGATATCTTTTTCCTTCAGCAAGTCAAAGACCTCAGAGAGAAAAACGAGGCCTTATCATTGGAAAACAAACAGCTAAAAGAATTAATCATCAAATTGAATAAGCCATTGAACGCATTAATTGCTCTTCAATTACAATACCCGAATATTCTTCCAAGCAAAACAATTTCTGTCACATATGGTGCTAATGTGAAACAAATACCCCCAAATTTGGTGTCCAGAATTATCAACAGCAACAAGACGGCTCGGCTTGGCATTGTTAGCAATTATTTGTTTGATAAGGATTATGTTCTTTTGAAAGATGATCAGAAAGATATTGTAATTGATTGCATTTTAGAATGTACTGAGGTGCCATTGGATAAGTGGAAAGTGGAACGAATATTATTGATGAATTTAAGTCGAACTTTAAAACACAACGCATCAAAGAAAGAGCATGAATCCAAAACCAAGAGCAAGCAGTCGTTGTAAAATCTTGAATTACATAAAAAATTTGTTTTAAAAAAATTCTCAAAAGCTTGTAGCAGCCTCCACGTTCAACAATCACATTCATTCATCAACAGATGCCGCTTGTTCATCTTATATGCTGCTAGAGCTTGCTTTGCGTAAGTGTACGTGTTTCATTGATACAGATATGATCTCCAAATCATCCAAAGATATCGACACGTTTCATGTTTGCTCGAAATGGAGGACTGTCTTTGCTATCATTTGCCTTTTGTCTCTTATAAAGGACAAAGCAGGCTTTTATTGATAAAGTTTTCTACGGTAAGCTTTTCTTTTTCACGAAGTTGTTGTGAATTTCTTGAATCTGATCAACGATAGATGCTACAAAGGACCTTTAGCATCATCAAACATTTTGGCAAGACGAATGAATGTTATGTTGATGATAGGAGAAGATATTGTTGAACAAACAGATAGGGTTTGTAGTTAGTGCTTGATTTGAAAGTAATTCTGTTCGTGCTGTTTGAAAAGGTAATTCGTTTCATTTACGGCCATTGTTATTGTTGTGGAGGATGATTAAACTTGTTCACCTGTTAAACCGGTAAGTATATCCAACCATGTACTAATATCAACAACATTATTCGTTGTTTATTTATTTCCTTCTAGAGTAACATGATCGGTAGGTTGTTAGATTTGCTGAGCAGATTTTTGTTTATTCAAAATGTTTTAGTTGCTTCTTCTTTATTAGTTGTTGTTTTGAATATCCATCATTACACTCTGTACATAGAATGCGTTGGTAGAGATTGGTTGAGGATATTGAAGCAAGTTCTAACATCCAGATAATGAAGGGATATCTTGAGGTAGGGATTGAATTTAATGATAATCAATTGAGGATAGGATGATAAGACTTCAAGTATATTTGATCCACAGTTGGTTGTTTGATTATTCGTACCCTCTTGTCCCACTATGCATTGAGAGTTAAAGGATTGTAGTTGCAACAATAACCAAACAACCGCTTTCTTAACATTTGTCAATGGTAGAACTGAAAAAGATGTTATATTATCGAGTTATGGAATTTCAAGCTGAATTTGCTTGGTATTATGAAGGATTATTTGTAGGTTGTTAATTATTATGGATTGATTAACAGAGCTTTCAATGCTTTAGAGTTTGATGTTTAAACATTTTAAGCCTGGAGTGTATTTAGATCATCGAGGCATTTGTTTGTCATGAATAGGGATTGGTTTGATTGATGTTAAAATATGACTTGTTGTGAATAATAATGTCAGTGCAATAGAGATATCAAAACAAATGACAAATTGATATATCATTTATATGAATTTGAAGTGTGTTTTGATTGAACTATTGATCACTATGATTATTATGCCGCAACTGAAAAATATTTTAACTGAATGCAAAACCAACATCATGATAAACAAATGAAAAGATGATATGAAATACAAGTATTGAATTAGATGATATTTCAACCCGATAGCTTAAATTATTCAAAAGTAAGTAATGTCAATCCAATTCATCTTTCATTTACCATTTATATTCATTAAATTGGCTACTTTAGCTTTGTTGTTGGATATAAATTAGAGAATTTGGATGAATGAATGTGAGGAAAATGGATAAATATACAAGATTTGAAGATTTGGAGTGGTTTGAAGAGATTGAATTAGTGAACGATTGGTTGAGCGAGAATGAAAGAGAAATTTGAGAAATAAGGAGCGTTAATTTTTCGTCAATTATTTTTATTATGAAACATCATAATAATTGACGTTAATTTGACGCGTGAATAATGAAATCGTTAATGTGGAAAATTAACGCTTTTTATTGACGTTTTTTCGTCAATAATTAACGCTTTTCAAGCGAGAATAAAATTTTTTTCGTTAACTTTTTGATTGTAATTTTTGACGAAAAAACGTTAAAAATTAACGTCAACCGCGAGTAGCGGGTCGACAAATCAAAATCTTTGTGGCCATTCAAAAACACTCATAATGATTTTACTCAAAATATTAATGTACATTAATTCTTAAACCGCATTGTCAGTATTGATTGAATAATTTACAGGTGCAGTAGAGGTGGACGAATTCGAACTGGTAGAATTTTGAGAGTGGTTGTTGTTACGATTAGCTTTCAGCTCGAGCTCACAATTCATGAGATAGGGATAGTAGGACGTTGGAGAAATCCAAGGAAACTCATGATGAATGGCATGGTATTTCACCACTTGAATGTTGGATCCAAATAATAAATTTAGTAATCGATCCAAATGCATGCATTGAGGGAGGATGTTGTTGATCTTATTCACAAATTTAACCATATCAAATTTGTGAATGAGTTGGGTGAAGATTGCCAACACATAGCTGGACGCAAATCTCGAGCTCAGTATTACCACGACATAGGAGGTTGTGAACATGACAGTCAGCACAATGAATACAAATATTTTCACTGTCATAATGACAACAAATCTCACGAACTGTTTGAATTCTGTGGATTGCAAGATATTATTCTCAATTGCTTGCAATTTGCTCACCAAGTGTGAAGCATAGATTATAGAATAGTATTCTGGAAAAAACATGCACTTGATGAGAAGAAGCAATACGTTTTGTGTTGAAAAGAACACAAAATCTACATCCTTCTCTGTCTCTGTAAACATGTGATGTGTTTTGTGACCGTACTTGGCAATTGAGAGAGTGAAAAACTGACCAAAAGTACCAAGGCCAATCAACACCTCAGAAACAACATCAAACTTTGCACAGGCGTGCAACACTGTGTGTAAAGAAAGAGTCCACAAGATCGTACAATATTGTTGAACTAGAAACACCTGCCACCAAGAGAGAACACCAAAGTAATGAAACACCATCATGAGCAGAGGAACGCCATTGAGAACGTGATTATACACGAGTTCGCTTTTCCTTAAATCGGTCACATTCACTACTTCGTGTTCTTTTCGTTTGATCAATTCTATTGAGACTATTTCGTCGATGGGTATGGTACTTACAGATGTGTGAGAGTGTTGAGAGGATTGTTGTTGAAAGGCTACCTCTGGTATGGATTCAAATACTTCGTCATCACTGCAATAATTGTTATTGGTTGAGAGAGTGGTCACTTTGCCGTCCGACAAGGAATCATCCCGAATTTCGATGGTAATGAAAGAATGTGGATGTAACAATTGTTTCTTTCGTTTTTCATGTCGTATAACATCCAAATAGGTTACTGGTGAAAAAGATGGCGTGGTAATGATTGGAGTTGTTTCATCGACGAGTTGCTCTTTGTTTGTAAGTATGATCTTTGGCTTCTTTTGTAATGAAGGCAGTGGATGATTTTCATGTTTGAATCGAGGAGATTTTAAACACCATCCCATGTAACCAACGGCAACACTCTGAAAGTTCTTGTAGATGTCATACATGAGAAAGGCTTCTTCATCTTTCTTTGACGACAGCTCTTCCAATTGTCGATTCATGCTTTCCATACATTTTACAAGCTCTGAAAGGCAATTCATGATGCTGTCCTCCAAATTTGATCCTTCATGCTCTTTCATCCACAGAGAGATATAATTGTTCTTAATTCCACATTTCAAATCTTTAGGATAGGAACAAACGTCGTTGACAAGAATGCATGCTTTGACAGCATCATTATAGAACTCACTCTTTCTGAGGTCGTCAAACATGTTTGAGATTGTACTGGCAACAACGACTTGATCCATTCGTGTGTTTTCTTCATTCCTTCCGACAGCAATCAAAAAACCAAAATACATTAAAACTTTCGCTAATGAATCACTTTCTCTCATTTTCAAGTACTCTCTTACTGATGGACTCGAGTCCTTCACCCACAACTTTGCCATCCAAACATTGTTCTCGAATGTTTCCATCATGATGGATCTAACATTCTCGAAATGATCAATCTCGAAACTTGTCCTTGATGACTGACAAACGGATGACGTTAACTCTGAATAACACTGTAAAAGGACTTTCTTTCCAAGCTCCAAAGATGGGTTGAAAGTAGATGTGACAGTACTGTGTTTTGTACGACTTCGTGAAGCCCCTATCGCTGAGGATGAATGATGTAAAATGGTGCTTGATAACACACTTGAAGCTGTGACAACTTCAGCCGAAGCTTGAATTGGGGATGTTGTCACTGGATCTGTATTGGTAGAGTCTGCATTTGGACTGGTTAATGCACAATAATCGCAAGGAGAATCAGCTGGTGTTGTGATATGGAGAGCTAGTGTTGCATCTGTTGTTGGACTTAACAACAGGGTTTCTGGTTGTGATGTTATGGTTGTTCGATTCTTGTCCGTGGTAGGAATAGAAGGATAAAGGGTGGCTAACAATTCAATATGTGATTCTAGTTCGTCTCTTAATTCTCCAGTACAATCCTTCTCTTGATCGCAGGCATCATCCACAACGCTAAGATAAGCGAGAAGTGAAGCAAATAGTTGAAGATGCTCTAATGAAGCATATGGAAAGCAGAGTGAGATCCAAAAACAAATATCTACGATGCCTTTCTTGTGATATTCATTGTCAGGAAATTGACATTCTTTGAATTGGACGGATGTGTTTTCAATGATCTTTTGAAAGTGTGTATTGGTTTCAAGGGTTTCTAGACTGCAGAGATTGAACAATGACTCTGATAAAGAATGAAGGGATTGACGGCTCTCTTCCTCTCTCGTTTCTTTCGTTGATAGTGATGAAGAATTGTCACTCATCTTTTTTAAATGTTGTGCTATTTTCAAATTGCTATGCACTTTTTTCATGTTGACGGTAGAACTAATTTGTATTGAATCCTTATTTTGACGACTCGTGACATTGTCGAATTGAAACTAGGCTTATCGTCATTTTAATGAGGGATGTTAGACAGATAAGTACGTTTGATCCCTGCTCCAGTTTTGAACTTTGGAACCTTGTCATGACATATCTCGCACACTCTGAAGATCAACATTCATGTCCATGCCGAGAACTTTCCGACATCATCAAAAAAATAATGGATTGAGAAGTTACCATCATCAACATTCGCTCTAAAATGCTCGAAACAATATATTGCCAAAATTATGATATACCATTATTTGTTTGGAGAGCCTGTTCAGGTCCGAATGTGTTGATTCGTGCTTTTGAATTATTGGTATGAGAAAATTTTGAATTTAAATCGGAGTATTGGTGGGTTCGGATGGATCTAACTTCGACTTTCTAATGAAGTGGAAATGATGTGGGCCATCCTTTATTGATCCAGTGTTTACAGGGAAGCACAAAATCACAGCGTTTTTTTTGGTATTGGCAAAGAACATTTATGGAAAAGGAGGAGAATAAGCTCGAAAACTAAACGAAAAAATGAACGATCAAAGCCTTAATCCTTCGTCCGGGAACAGTAACATCAATACTACAACTGTTGCTGGTGCTGCGAGTGGCACTAACTCTCATCCCTCTTCGACCCATAATCATGGCCATGGATCAGGAGATAGAACGCATCATGTTCATCACTCTTCCCAAAATTCTCTCATGGAAGCAGGTCCTCCATCAGGCCTAACATCAGGCTTCAAGAAGGTCAACTCCAAGTAAGAAATGAAAGCTTTTCGAGCACTTCAGGAGAGACTTTTTCCTCTACCGACCTCTCTACCTTGCACTACAAGATCACCCAAGATTTGATGACATTTCTCTTCACCATGCAAAATAATTCGAGACATTATGGATGGAAAAATTACTGTCTTGATTTAATATTACATGCCCAGATATTTTGGAGTTTTATATTCATTCCTGTGTTGAGTCCTCAAGACTTTTTGTTTGGGCAATGGGGAAGTTGGATATTTACCATTTTAAATTGGAACACATCACTCTCAATGGATCTACTGCCTTATTATGGAGCAGTTGGTATTTCTAGTGCTGGCTTATTTCTCTTATTCATGATGTTTATGTTGTACATTGTCGGTAGGAAAGCAGCACTTGATACATCAAGTATGGTGGTGTATTTGAGAAAGGTTCTTCATGCTCTGTCTTTTATAATCATTTTGTTCTCGGCTCCAATAGCATTTATATTTTCAAGCTTCTTTGACTGCAGTTATGGATTTCCAATTATACCTCATGCAACCACTGCTGGTACAATCATACTGTCTAACAGTACCCAACCATCTTCCCTTGAAAACGGCGGTATGAATTTGAATAGATTTCCCATGACTTCCTGTTTTTCTAGCGACAACATTATCATGTGGACTATTTCACTGATTGGAATGATTGCATTACTAGCAGTCACAGTGTTGTCTTCATGTATCATACCTCACATGCATCCTTTAAGCACATCCCTGTTCAAAAGTGATTCCTTGTTGTTTAGAGTGAGTTTTTTAGCCTGCAACATTGTTTCCATCACTATACATTATTTGATTCCTCCGCAATGGGCCTTCGCACGATCTGCTGTTCATATTGCAATAAGCATGGGGATGGCTTTCTTAGTTTTCAAAACAATCCCAATGATGAGAAGATGGGAAAACTCTCTTCTCTTTGCAATAACATTAGGCAGAGTCGGCACCTCTCTCGGTGGACTTATTTCACATTTAGCTAATACAACATTGAGTAACGAGTTTGGAATCGCAATGACCATGATGACAATTGGTTTCATGGCTCTTTTCTTTGTTGCTGGCTTTGTGAGCATGGAACTTTATACAAGGATTGTGTTTAGTATGTTTAAAAGCAGGTATTTTAACCCTCAAGACGAAGATAATGGAGGAGAACGAGAACTACTGCAATTGTATCATATAATGGAAGAAAACAAGCATTTACCGCTCTTATATTTGTAAGTATTTAGTGTGCAGTGTATGGCAGAAAAATTTACATATTTTTTCAGATATCTAAAGTTTTCCATGACCTCATCTAACCATGACGACCTACTTCACGGAATTAACCTCATTCGTGGCGTCACATCCTTGAAAGCGTTTAATGACATTCACTCACTAATTGTGTCGGCTCTAATAGTCGCATACTTTATACCTGATGAAGTTAATTCGTCAAGTTTTGCTCAAGCCTTGCTAAAGAAGGCCATAAAACAACGCCCTCATATATTTCTAAAATTCCTAATCGGTCAAAAGAAAAAAGAGATTGAAGTTTACACCACGGAAGTAATTAAAACTAATGGATCTATGGAGTTGAACTCGACACTCTTTAAAGTTGAAAAGAAAATTAAAGAATTAACGGCCATTCATAGACACTTTTTTAAGGAATTAATGCAGGAAATTGTATCATATGAAAAAGCTGAAAGAATGATGATGCGATGTGCAGTTTTGGAAGGAGAATGTGATTCTATTTTCAAAAATGTTCTTAAGCTATTCAACAACAACAAAACAGTGCTTAGAATGTAAGTATTAAAATTTTATTAGGCACGATGCTATATGTACTAATATCAAGGTATGCACAATATTTGGAAGCATTCAAATTCAACAAACAGCTGGCACAAGAGTTTTATATGGAGGCTTCTAGTATTGAGGAAGAAGAATCTGTTCGAAAGCGAGTTATAGGCTTTAGAAATAGCGGCACAAAAAAACTTGCCAAAAAAACCAACCGAGCATCCGTTGTTCATCCGGAATCAGAGGAGAATCCAACAACATTGCAGGATTCAGACAAGAGATTTCGTTCTAATAACTCGATCACTGTCAGTGTCCATTCTAGAAATGCTACAGAAGAAAAACCACCTGATATGGAAAGAGCCAATAGTGAGTCCAGTTTTGATCTTACAGGAGTAGACACTTTAAACAACGAAGCAAAACGTGAACTAACCTACAGATCCACATTATCAACACCATCATCGAGAGCTATTCAACTAGGATTGTTTTTGTTTTTCATTGCACTTTCATTTCTGCTTGTCACTGCAAGTTTAGTTATAGGCTATTTCATTTCTCACGAAGTTACAGACCACGTGACAACGGCACGTAGCGCATGTGCTCCTGTTATGGGATTAACAACAATACTGGTCAATACTCGTGGATTTCAACTTGTACAAAACTTTGGATCTGAGAGCTTAGCTCATGATGTTTCAACCCAATTGTTTCTAGATATAGAGGAAAATAAGGAAATGATGAAAGGTAAGTGGAGGGTTTCATATAATGGTGTCAAACCACTTGACAAATCCAGAGATGATGAGCTTGGCAATGGAACTAAGATCGGCTGCTTATGATTCTAAATTTTCTGACAGGATTTATGGTGTTTATCACGGAGAAGGCTTCCCCGTGCTTATTCCTCAAATCGAAGACCACAGTATTAGAGTTTATAATGTCACCGCAAAAGAAAATGCCACCATAGCAGATATCAACAGCATGATCATAGAAGCTACCAAAAAATTGCTACAGTATGACGACATAGAGCTGAAACAAACCTTAACTAGTTACGAGTTCATGTTATTGCATAGAAATTTTGATACTTTTACCCACGCCTATGAGAAATTTTGCGGAATGTTCATGGCTTCTTCTCAAAACGACGCGTTAGAATTGAATCATACCTATATCACTTACACATCTATTTCTCTTTCTATTTATGTTGTATTTTCAATTTTTTACATGATTTTTATGAGATTTGATTTGGTAATTGTAAAAAAGCAAATTAAGCTTTTGCAAAAGTTTGTTACGAGGTAAGTTGTTCTGCCGTCTTTGCCTTGATGTTGAGGTATTTTCTTTCAAGAAATGAGATTGGAAAGGTGAGTTTGGAAGTTTGATTATTTCTTTTGCTAATGTTGTTCAGATTTATCATGCACTCGGTAAGAGAGTTGGAGACGAAACGACAATACACATTTCTAAAGCTGCATATTTGAAGCCAAAAAATTTATTTATCATACTCACCATGGCCATGGCGTTCACAGTAACTCTTAGTTGTGTTCTATTCTTAGAGGAAACCCTTGCTAATACCAATTACAGCGTGCAATCGTACTCTACCATCAGATACAGCTATCACACGCTGACATTTATTCAACACATCGCTTTCTATGTTACAGAAATATTTTCCTCAAAAGTAGCACAAAACCAGACACAATTATTGACGCCTGAAGAGCTTGAGTTTTTCCATGACGATTTCAACAATATTATAGCCTCTGTAAGAGAATATTGGGGGTTATGCTTGTACGGATCTGATGAGCAATCAGGCAGAGATAAAAGAGTGATTGGCTTATTTCCTGAAACTGACGAAATGATTAAGGGTAATGAAAATTGCACCCTCGAACAGATTTTACATGACTCAACATCTCGTCATAATTTTTCATGTGTTGTTGGCGTTGACAGTACCATTTCTGACATTGTTTTGAAGAGTAGAAAACTTCTTGAAGATGTTCAAGCCTCAGACAGCTCAATGTGGCAAAATATCAACTTTTTTATGGACATTGCTTTTTTAACCAGCTATGTCTCTCAAGTTTTGATCAAGTTTTCGGATGTATTTGCTTTGGCTTCCAGTGAACCCAAGCTAGAACTATTTACAGCTGTCGCAGTGTTAGCTTTCACAAGTTTGGTTGTATTACTTTTTGGTTTAGTGAACTCCATGTCACTTCACGCAAAAACGACATTTACCATGAGAATGATGTTCAATTATATTTCTCTTGAGACGATTGAAGCTAACGAACGATTGAAAAATTATGTCTTGTATCACTCTTTAATAAGCTTCTTTGAGAAGTTAAGCTACCAAACAGACTCGGATAGCTCAGATGCCAAGCTCATCTCGATTTTGAATGCATCCGTTGAGGGAGTGG